ATACATCAACCTTCAATGAATTTCACAGACTCCTGGACAAGAACACTCACTGTTATCGTATACACAGGCAGCCAACAACTTTCTTGGTTTTTGTGCATCCTTCTTCATCAGTTGTTCCCATGGAAGAACAGAGCTTGATGTAGAGTTGATATGACAAAGGCAAAAGGCAATAACATGATAACAACTATGGTGTTTTTCAACATGGCTCAAGTTTGGGTCGTGAAGGCTAGCTAGGTGTTGAGTTATGAAACTCGTGAAAAAAATGACAGGTTAGGTAGATAAATAGCACAATAAATAGTTGAGGTATGAAACTCACGAAAAAGTAATAGTTTAAGTGTATTTTTTACCATTAACTTTTTTTTATTCATTGATTAGCACACGGGATACAAAGTATCATTTAGATATTCACTTTGCGTCCCAGAGTGCTGTTGGTGCACAGATCGAAACTCGATAGATAATGAGCATGCTTCTTTGTTGTTGTCCACTTAATACCAAAGCTTTTGTCTGCAACAAGATTTGTACGCTTGACGTGTGCTTAATCTACACATTACGTGTTACGTTCTTATCACTAGACCAAAGATGTGATGGTGGCATGTTCTTTGAGTCTTGACCATATCAACCACTCTTTTAGAAGCCATTTCATTTTGAATGAGCTTAGGTTAAAACTAAACTAAAGTTAAAAAAATAAAATATTAAGCTTTGCTATCATCTTTGAGTTTCATACACTATTAGGGGTAGTTTCGTATGCAAACTATATTATCTCGGGATTATAGTCTTGAGATTATAATACCTGGACTAATTTATCCATTTGAGAGGTGGGAAGAAATAACCGAAGTGTTTCATGGGATATCCTGACTAAGTTTGGTATTAGATTTATACCATGTTTGGTTGACGGAATAAAATTAATCCTTGGAATAAATGTATACCATCAACCAAATATGGTATATTTAGTACCAAACTTAATACTAGGATATCCCACCTTACCCCACGTACCAAACAACTATTGTATTATTTACCTATCTAAACTATTACTTCCTTTGTAATAAAACACATTTTAATGCTGAGTTGACCTACTCACGTCTGTTGTTGATTGGAAATAAATATTTAATCAACTCAGCATCGACGTGTGTTTTTCCTCATCATCATACAATCTCAATCAACTTCTTCAACTTGCTTGCATATTCTCCTCATCATCATACAATCTCCCTGTCAACTATGTTGGTTCAGCTACTCATAATAACCAACAAGCTCGAGTTCGAGCCAACATGTTAAATCCATCAGACATAGCCAAAATCTACAATTCCATGATATCCCAACACCTGATTTTGACTCCCCTGCACCTGATCCTAATGCATTGAGCAAATTCCCAACTCAACTCTTACCATCTTATAATGCTTGCATGCTTCTCCCACTGCTTCCTTACTTCGTGACATCTCGTTTAAATCAAGACAAGTTAGTAGCTTTTCGATTTTGGTATTTAGATATTAGGCTGGTGATATATACAATTCAAACAAAGTACTTGAAGGTTTTGTTACGGTTTGCCCTGATTTTCTGTCATAAGCAAAATTACCTTTCTTTGATGAAAAATGTTTCCTTGTTGGAAAAGATCTCTTATGTATTTGGTTAATTCTTTCTTGTAGTAAAAGGTTAGGGTAGAAGGTAGTAGGTAGTAGTTCGTTGTCTTGTTGTCCGTTCATATTTGTACTCGTAGTATTGCTCCTATAGTTTCTTGTCCTTCGATTTCTGTTACTATCTGTTGTTTCTTATACCTCGATTACTGTATTGTTTAGTTGTGGTTTCCGTTCTATTGCTATGTGTTATTTTTGTTATTATCTGTTGTTTCTTGTACTTCCGTTACTTCTTTTTGGGGACTGCTTTGGACTGGTTTTTCTTGAGCCGAGGGTCTATCAAAAACAACCTCTCTATATCCTCTCTAGACCTCACTTTGTCAGACTACACTGGATATGTTGTTGTTGCCTTTTGTTGGAGCAAATTTTTTGAACTTCCATCAATAACACAATAGAATCTATAATGCAGCTGTTAAAGAGTTTTGTTTAGGGACAGATCGTTCTCTCTAGATTTCTAATATTTTCTTTCATATTAGTTTTTCATATGTAGGCCAATTGGCCAAATTGTATCAATATATATATATATATGCTTCTTTAGTACAGTTTTCAAGAAGAAGGCATGATATAATCCTCAACACAAACTTCAAACTTCAATTCTTGATAAAAACTCAAGTACAAATGGTGAAATTCCAAAAGAAGTTTACTCTTAGTTAAAGGAGTCAAATGTGTCGACACATCATACCTCTCTTTTTTCAGAACAATAATTTATCATTTTCTAGGCCTTTTCGATGCGTGTTAGTGATAACGCTCAATTACACACCTTATGAATCAACTTACAACCGACCGTCGAAGCGTTTCATAAAGGTTTTGCAAAAGAATTGATTGGAAGCCATAGCACAAAATTTTTCACATGCTAATCCACACGAAAAACTAAGAAAATCACCTGATTCTTGTAAATAGGTCCTAAATGCAAAAAAATATGTTGTGGATCATGGTGAAACAACATACTGCTCCACCAACTCCCTACGGAGGGTTCCGAAAAAGTTTTTAAAAAGATGGATCGAAAGTTATAACACCAAAATATTCATGGGCTAACATACATGAAAAACTAAGAAAAATGCCTAATTCATGTAAATTGACCCCTTAATGCCAAAAAGATTTCATAAATCATGATGAGACTATACGTACGGCTCCCCCAACTCCCTACGGACGTAAAGGTTTTGCAAAAAATCAATCAGAAGCCATATCACCAAATGCGCTAACACACACAAAAAACTCAGAAAATCACCTAATTCCCGTAAATTGGCCACTAATTCGCTCCTAGTTGAACTATCACTATGATTAATGTATGGTTAATTTTATTTGATTATCATAACAATTATCATTATGTATACGAACTAAGTAGAAGAATGTTAGTATTAAAAGTTCAATACTTAAACTATTGTCATGTCTCGTGTTGACAATTCATTATTTTTGTTGTGATATATTTCGTTTCTATAAATGAATTTTACATGCTTGAATTATATAAATAACATATAACAATGCCTCACTAACAATATTTTCTCCGTCTTCTCTCTTTCGAGTACGCAGTAATTAATCGAAGGTGTCACTCATAGGTGTCAATTACAATTAGTAATAACATCGAAAAAAAAAGAAAGAGCGAGATGGTGATTTTCTGTTGTTCCCGCAAAGTAAATATCATTCGCTTGACGGATCAAGTGGATAGAGGTTAGTCTTTCAAAAATATAGTCAAATAAGGTCTACCTAATAATTTTTGTTTCTTAATGCTTTAGACTTCCAAGGATTAGAAATTTTCCTTTGCCTTAAAACACTTGCTTTGTGTACGTTCACCTCTCCTTTTCCTTTAATTTTCTTCTTCTTTTGCTTTTTTGCATATCTTTCTTTTTAACATATTTTTTTTTTTTTTTTTTTTGTGATCTAAAAAGAGATGGGGTTAGTGCATGATTATGCATCTATAGTTCCCAACTAAAGCTATTTTCAAGTTACTACAAAAGGATATGACATAATCTAGAGTCATAAATATTTCACTATTTTGAGACATTATTGAATGTTACTATTTGGCTGAATGAATCAAGATAGTTAAGATGTCTATTTCCTATATTTCATCTCATGACCCAATCTTTTGAATGATTGAATCTTGTTCCTATTAATAATATATCACATCATTAGAACAAAGGGTCACAAGAGGGAGGGGGGGGGGGGGGGGGGGCAGAATAGATTCAATTGAATTTCGTACGATAAAATATTATAATATGTAAATAGGGAAATAACGAATATATATTTTGACATACACATACATATATACAAAAGTTATTGAATTTCCTTTGTTTTATATATATATATATATTGAATTTCTGGCTCTGTCACTGATTAGTAGGATTTGTTCCATCTCCAAATAGATACACAATTTGAGGGACCTCATTAAGGTTGTATAGATTCATGTAACTTGTGATCATTCATTCTCATGTGTTTTTATTTTGAGGGCTCATTCTCAATTGTTATTTGTGGAGGGGATTTGATATTGCTCAATCTTAATTTAGAGATTGTGAAGTTGTTGAAGGATCTCATTCTTTGGACATTAATTCTTATATACCCCAATTGTATTTGTAGGGTACACATTGATACTTAATTTTGAAGTCTAGATACACATAATTCAGTGTCATATTAAAATAATACTTCATCCACTCCCAAATATAATTAGTCATAAATTGAATTTATTTCAAATATCAATTAATATTTGACTATTAAAAAGTCAAGTAGTATTAATTACCTTTTTAATTATTTTTTAGGGTAATGCTAAATTGCCAGAAAATTTGGCCAGAAAATTAAAAAGTTTATAATATCTTTTTTATTTAAAAATAAACTAATCTTTTTTTCCATTTTTTAGTTAAAAGGAATTAAAGTTAAAAGGGTAAAAATGTTCAAAAGGATAAAATAACATAGGTAAAATACCATTCCTGCCAAAAAATATTTTCCTATTTTTTAAACCTAATTACTCAAATTAGTGAAATGTTGATTAAGTAAGACATTTAAAAAGGAGATAAATGGTAGTTTAAAGTTGAAAGTTGTCTTTTCAAATAAATATTTTAATATTTTACATAAATATTTGCAAATAATATTGATGTCCGAAATCAGCATTTGACACAAACAAGCATGAAATTTTCGTTATTTATCATCAAACAAATCTGTATAATATTTTAAAATCACAATGTAGAGGGTAAAGTTCACGTACATCCTACTTTTTTCAGATCCATTTGTGAAATTATATGAATATGTCAGGGGTCGTTGGTAGCTCTACCTATTTAACAATGTTATTCAATTTTCTTCATTATCATTAAGTACCATTTGAATAGAGGAATTACTTGTAAGAACACTAAATTAGTACAAAAAAAACAAAGATAATTGGAATGGAAATCAAGGTTTATAATAAAAAAGAGTTCAAACATACTAATTATCTGTTACATATTATAGGGATAATAATATAAATTGAGTATATTTTCTTAAAATTAAAGTGTGATGATAAGTAGGTCAAATTAAAGAGGCCAAGATGTTTGAAATTGAGGAAATCCTCCATACCCTTCTCCAACAGTATTTTTCCCCATTCCTTGAGCTGCTGCATACCCATTTGTTCCCTACCAATTTAATTCTTAATGTCAAATTTATGGGAAATAAAAAAAAATCAATCACATCCCGTCAGTCAAATCTTTTTATAATAGTCATCCTCTATCGATAGGGATGGGATAATATATGAACAAATGATGTTATAGAAAGCTTTTATTGTATAATGTATGCACTCATCAAATTAAATAAAGTAGGAGTGTTTGTGATGCACATCAAATATGAAATAGATGCCTCATATATCAACTATTAATTAATGAGAATATCAGGGTTGTGATGAGATTGATATGATTTTTATATTCTTAATTAAGTAGATGGTTGGGGTTTGAGTTTTGAAAATGGAGAAAATCCCTATAAGGAGCGTTTCATTTTAATGAATTGTACGCAACACAAATTCAAATTAATTGAGACTCAGCACCAATATCGGTTTTGAAATAAAAAAAGACTAAAGACTCCTTTAAAGATAATTTTTTTTAAAGGGGATATATAAACATTAATTTAAATTAATCGCATGCAATAATTCTACCTTATAAAAAAGATCATCAGAGCGGAGGCAATTTATTTATAATTGTATCTAAGAGGACTAGTAAAATGAACGATCATGTATTTCTAGGAGCTAGATCAATTGGTGACGAAAACAGAATTTTTCATTAAAAATGTTTTTATTTTGGTATGACGATGATTTAGCATAGAAGAAAATGATAAATAATCAAAGTATATACAAAAGCTAGCAAAGCATACTTACTTAAACGATAACAATAAATCAGATAACAAAAAGAAAAACATATGCCATTGGGCATAAAAGAGGGTTTTCCACATTAAAAATTGGTGTTTTTTGTTTTCTCAATTTTGGGGTTTGCCTCTTCCCAACATATATATCTTTATAAAAAGTGAAAGCACTTTAAACTAAAAAAAATAAAAAAATAAAAAGTGTACCTGCATTGAGTCCATATCATCCATCTCTGATGAATTAAAATCATAAAACAAACTTGCTGCTGATAGTTTCATTGAAAGAAACTTCAAAAAAAATAAAAATTGAAAAATGCTCTATTAGAGAATATTTTGATTGAATTTATTAAATGTATTTTTCTAATTTTGCACTATGAAAATAAGAACATAATATATATAAATCTATACATATGTATACTTACATCAATTTGATTTTGCAATGACCGGACATAGTTGATTATTACATCTAACATCACTGCCATTCCCATAGTCTGCAACACTTACTCGTGTTATAAAATTAATGATTTAATGAAAAAATTTAACGTAAGAGATTATGTTGTTCAGACTCTCCAAAAATTCTGCCGTATCCATATTACATCTTCCAAAAATGCATTATTTTTAAGGACCTCTTTTAAGAGTCCGTACAACATATATAGCTAAGAAATTTTTCTTTAATAGAAATATAAATTTACAAAAACTAAACAAGAAGGATTTTGATTGTTTAAAATTATATGTGTATATATATATATATATATAGCAAGCATGTAATATTACCTTATAACATCCAGGAACAAGTTCTTGCAAGCATCTAAGCTTTTCATTGATTTTCTCCCTTCGAAGCTATTTCACAAACAACAAATTACTCAAGATTGTATAATTTAACAAGTCTTTTATTCATAGAATATATATATATATATGCTAATGATGAATACATGAGATAAGTCGATAAATACAATCAGACATCTCTATATCAGTATCGTTTGCTCTGATTCTTTGATTGATATAGCGCAATATTGTTACAACAAACATATAATGTAACATAACATGAAAAATCTATTCTACAGGAAACATGATTGTTACAGTGAGATATTGTTATAAAAGATGACTATTGTAGAAAAGTCTTGATCGTAGTATAAATTGAATTTGATTAAAGAATTCTTACTCTTTCAGCCAAACTGTGACTATCAGTAGCTTGGCCTCTCTTTGCTCTAACATGTACAACTTCTCTTGGTTTCTCAACTTCTTTTTGATTGTTCCTTTTTCTCTTTCTCCCTTCACATGTATTCTATATAACAAAGAAATTAAATCATAGTAAACAAACAAACAAAAAAACAAATCAACTACACTTTTTTAACAAGTCGGAATTCAACTACATCTTAATATTCAGATTCAGACATCTAAATCTTAATGCACATCTTAATATATATTCAGATTCAGACGTGTTAATCTTAAAAAAAAATAAACATAATTTGTATTTATCACCTTGCTAGTATTTCCAGAGACTAAAGGAGGAGTTGGAATATTATTGTTATTATTATTATTCAACATGGATTCTGATTCTGGAATTGAGCTAGTACATCCATAACTTGGACCTCCCAAGGTAAAAAATTGAGCAGCAGCAACCGCGACGGTGGGATCATAAACATCATGGCTAATATTATTCATATGATCATTATGAAAATTAGGCATGATGTTGAGTTCATGTTGATGATGATGATTAGAGAAGTTTTGATCATTTGACAAAGACAAAAAACCATGTTGTTGATGAATATTTGAGGTGAAATTTTGATCATTTTCAAGTTGTTGGCTTATGCTATTTAGAAGTTCCATATTTGAATTCATCAAAAGAGGGGAATTGTTGTTACAAGTAGAATTCAAAGCATGAAAATCTAGAGGAGTAGAAGAAGAAGAATCACCCATGAAAAATTTGGTAGATTTTTCTTGATTTGATTTCTTTAATATGATAGGATTAGGTAATGCAAGAGAACAAATGTATGGGTACTATAGTTTCTATGGTGGGGTTTTAATATATACTATTCCATACGTCTCATTTCACATCTTGTTGTCTAGAGGCGGAGTCAAAATTTAAAATATATGAATTTTGAATTTTATCGATCTTTTTAAATGACTGAGTTAAAAAGTAATAATATATACATAATCAATAGATTTTAAAATAAATATTGAGTTTGAATCAAAATTATTAAATTCGACTGAATACGTAGCTGATATTCTAACTATGCCCCATTAATATAATATTAATATAGGTCATACAAGTCATGTCATTATTGATAAATTGTGAATTATATGATTTAAATAGTTTTCAAATATTGAAATGTACTCTAATCGTCTCAATTTATATGAGACCGTTTGATTTGATATGAAAAGAAATATTTTGAAATTTATGGTGTAAAACAAATTTTATATATTTGCGTCATAATAAATTATTTTATAATTATAGAAATATGACTTTTTTTTTATATAAATTTTAAAAAAAAAGTTACATAAATTGAGATATGGAGATCAGAGTTATACACTAATCGAAAAGAAAAGTATGCCACATTTAAAGGAGGAAAGAAATAATTGTTTTTACAAAGTAATAAGGCAAGCAATTTAATGTATATTTTGATGATTGGAGAAAATAGAATATTATTGGGTAAATATTAAAAGGAGGTTTGTGGATGTAATCTCTTGATGGGTCCACTTCAAATTGATATATCAAGTAAATGGGACCATAACTCAACTTTGATTGAGTATGATCCAAATTGAGAATATCATTCAAGTCTTTTAATTGTTTGGCATGGAGTTGTTGGAAATGACAAGAGTGTACATTCCCATTGACCACTTTTAATCTTTCTTAGAAAAAATTTAGACCTCGTACTAGTTTATTATAGATGTTCTTTTTTTATAAATTTTACTCCTGGTATTCGGAATTCACATTGAACCATATTAGAGCTCCGACTAAATTAGAAACTGCATGGCCAATTCGAAGGTGATGCTCCCAACATACTTAGAACTCGAACTGAAAACTCTGATTAAGAAGGAAAAATGCATAAGTACCCCCCCAGCCTATGCCCAAAATCCCTAAGACACACCTAACCTTTACTAAGATCCTATTACCCCCCCCCCCCCCCCGCTTTTTTTTTTTTTTTTTTCATTCTTTTTTTTAAAATTTTAATTTTATAACATCACGGAAT